GCCTTGTGACGCTACAGCTACATACTCTTTTAAAACACTACGTCTAATGGTAGAGAGTTTAGCTGCTAGCCCGTAGGTCTCAAGTTCGGATCTCGGTTCGGAGTTATGACTGTAGGGAGAGCTGCAGCAACCAATTTCGGCGCCCAGGGCGAACTATCAGTTTTGCGCCCCTCTTATTCACTGTGAAAAAAGTCCCCCCCTCCAACCAATCACAGTTTTTTTCCCATTTCACACTAGTAATATAGAAAACCGTCCGTAGACCCAAGTAGGCTCACCCGCCCTCCCCTAGCTACGCCTCTGACTGTAGGGTGTCCCTGAGTCCACCCAGCTCTGGTAGATATCTGATTTACGCTGGGGAAAATAAAAGAGGCTGGGCATAGTGCTGACCACACTTTCCATTTAAATGCCAAGGTCAAGAAACATTAACTCTACTTCATCTGCCTATGGATTGTTAGGTCTAAACATGAATACTTATGTCTAGAGTCAAACCTTTAAAAAATGACACAAAAAAAACCCAATAAAAAAAAAAAAAAAAATAAACCAACCACTGCGACTACTTTAGAACTTTCAGTATAAATAATAAGTATACATTATTTTTGAATAATCTATTATCTATGGTAAGTCAGCCCCACGCTACAAGTGTAGAAAAAATTAACCAATTAATTTCGATGTATAATTTGGTGTTAAACGAGGCTAGATTCAATTAATTTTCCAAATGCTTAATCTGGCTTTAAAAATTTCACCGATCTACTACGTCACCGGTGAGATTAGTTTGGTTTCTACAAACAAAGAGTTCCAATCGTGTCAACAACGTAGAACATCAAACAAACTCCGCTCAATAAAATTGGACCTTAATTCTTTGTACCATGGGCTCTTTGTCTTTCTATTGATCGCTGCATACATTCATCGTGGTTATCTGACCATCCTATAACGTTAATTGGGTTTATTTTTAGATTGAATAGAGCGTTGGTTTGTTTCGTTTCTTTACTTTCAAAGTTTATTTTTTAAAGACCGGATTTCTTAAGTAGGTTAAACAAACCCTCTTCATGAGAGATGATGGATTAGTTCTGCTATATTTAGACAAGTTGAATTAGATATCCCATATCAAGTTGAACTTGTTGAAGTTGATGGTGTGAACTATAAAATGATACCCATACTTAGAGAACTTTTCTCATTTAACGATGTATTTTTTATTTGATAACATAAGGTATTTTTGTATACGTTGAATTTAAGAGAACGTTAGTAAAAAAACATGTCGCTGAGCAATGTAGTACTTTTGTCTCATGTCGGTACGTTTGTATTATGTTGGTACTTTTGTCTAACGTTGGTACTTTTGTCTCATGTCGGTACGTTTGTATTATGTTGGTACTTTTGTCTAACGTTGGTACTTTTGTCTGTAGACTAAGCTTTAGGACGTGATGGGAACTTAGGAACTATCGGGGAACTGTCATAGAACTAAATGTGAGCAACACATAACTACATTAGAACTTCATGGGAGCTTTATTAAAAGTTAGATGCGAAAGTTGATATATGGAATAAATAATTCAACTATAAGTAAACGAAACAGAACTTGAATAACTATTTAGAATTATCGTGAACTATTATGGCTGGGTATAATACAAACCTCACTATCCCATTAAATGTCCATGTAACAGAAACAGGTGAACTCTACTTCATTAGTTCCGAGAGAGTAACTAACGACCCCAACTACACACAAACGAGCTGGGATTGCTGGTAACTATTAGTCAAGACGTGAAATAGCCGGCTGTAATTACAGCATATCATACAGCTGTTGTGTAGAGGTGGGGGGAGGGGGTGTTCAACCATGTGTGACAACTGCTACCAGGTAGCACCTAGTCACTGCTACCATGTAAATTGTGACCACTACACACTAAGTGTGGCCACTACACACCATAAACTGTGACATCTACACATCGTAAAGTGTGATCACTACTCACAGTAAAATGTTAGCACTACACACCGTATCGATAGCAAAATAAATCACCATTTCAGTATTTCAAAGGTAACAATCAATCAAACACAGTTTTAAATAATTTTTTAATCAAAGTTGATCTTTTACAAAAAAACCTAATTTTAATCACGTGGCATAAAAATTAAATCCAATAAAAAATAAATAAAAATAAAATACAACTACCCTCCATTAGACATTACAGGCACTCTAGAACAAAGGCGACACCATACAAACAAAGACAACACCATACAGACAAAGACAACAGAGTTCAAACAAAGAAGAGGACGACATCGATTTTAAATTGTTTAATCCATTGATTATCAGATAATTAGGTACAGACAAAATCAATGTCCGATTTCTGCTTTGTCCTGTTTGAAGGGCCATTGTGGTGTTAAAAAAAGGTTACCGTTAATGGTTCAGCTGGGATGGTGACGCTATTGGGTGGGGTTGGGTCGATGGGGGCTGATGTGGTCAAGTGTTAGAGCACGCGAGGGTTTAGTACAGAGTTCGGGTTAGACTAGACCTAGTCACGCCTACCCCTAACACCTGACTCCTGTGAAGGTAAGTCACGGTTGGCTGAATATAATACTGACCACATCATATACCGAGGTCAAAAGATAAACTCTACTTCACCTGTCCGTATCACACACGCATGTTGTAGAAGTGACTAGGAAGGTAGTTCCTATCACCATTAAACAAGACGGAAATAGATTTTTAAAAGATAATTATGTTAAAATATGCAGTATGTTTGTTAGTGATTGGAAAGTAATAAAAACTGATGGGACAACTTGGGTGGAACCAAAGCATCAAATCAAATTTAGTTTTACGATAGGATTTGATGCTTATGTGATCGCACACAATGCATTTTTGACTGATTGTTATGGGACTTTTAAAATTTATATCTTATGTGTTCATTTACTTGTTAGTATACCCCTTTGTCAAACTATCTTTTTCCTAAATTAAATTAAACAAACTTAAAATCACGCCAAACACGAAGTAAGAGAATGCTATTTTTCAATTTTAATGCATTTTTTACTCAAAATAAATAAAAAACAAACATGAAAGTTCAAATGTCAAATTTTTAAAAGACTGTTTAAAAAGAAAAAAAAAATCAGAAAATGTTTTTTTATGTGTATATATTATCCGTTGAAATATGTACACACTTTCCATGTACATCTTTGCTTGAAATGTGTACTTGTTAACCATGCAATCTTTGCTTGAAATGTGTAGACGTTAACCATAGGTAAGTGTACTTTCCACAAAACACAAAACTGCATTGACTATTGACATAGGCATTTTGTCGTAGGGGTGAGAGTGGGAGGGTGTTTTCAATTTCCCAAATATCTCTCTCTCTTGCTATTATATATATATATATATATATATATATATATATATATATATATATATATATATATATATATATATATATATATATATATATATATATATATATATATATATATATATATATATATATATATATATATATATATATATATATATATATATATATATATATATATATATATATATATATATATATATATATATATATATATATATATATATATATATATATATATATATATATATATATATATATATATATATATATATATATATATATATATATATATATATATATATATATATATATATATAAAGTGTGTGTGAAAAGGTAGAAAATTAAGGGACGTACGATAGTGGTTTTTATTGCCTCAAAAATGTAGAAATTGAAAGCATCAAGACAGATACCTGCACGATATGGCGAGGATCTGAATGTGACAACCGTCATTTTGGAGATCCATGTAGGTGGGTTGGGGACTGGGACGGGGGTTTAACACCACTAATACCCCTCCCCCACCCGCCTCCACTGCTAGCTGTATCGTGACCGGAGTTGACGTCTGCCAACCTGGTCAGATATTTAGTACACAAACTCCATTAGATGTGAACATGTTTTCTCACATGTACACATTTACAAGTGTCACGTGGTCGACCAGCTCTTGTACACATGTTCACTCTGATGTGTTCTGAAATATAGTGTGTACGCGCCAATATGCAGTGTACACGTTTACACAACAATTCATATTGAACAATGACAGCATAGTAACTTTCATTATTTACATGTGTCATATTTACTGTGCTGGCAGATCGTACACACTTGAATTTTTATGTGTGCTAGCTTCCACATGCGTCCCATAAAGCTGACGTGATTTATGTGTTGCTATATACACACACAGTGTACGTGACAGCATACGTATGAACACACGTATTATTTTTATAAGTGTTGGCCTGTACACAAAAGCCATATTAATGTGTACCTATATCTCGCTGTAAGTCCTGGTTCAGGGAATGCTCCACCAGTTAAGGCTTTATGTACGAAACTACTAACTAGTTCTCATTGAAAATCATAATTATGTTGTTTCAAACTTCGCACCCAAACCCACCACAGTATATTTTGTATCAAACTATTAGGGTTGGGCTTACAACCCCTCTCAGTAACATCGCTATAAACCAGTATAGAGTCTTGTGGTCCCACTTCACATCCCGTCTTAGTACTATTGTTACAACATGATTGGGGGTGGGGGGGGGGGGGGGGGTGGGGAAGGCAAACTCCATTCTACACCTTTGGTAACAGTTGATCAGGGCATTACCCCCGCCATTAGACCGTAACATTCTTATCAGTTACTAGGGTAGTTTCTTTCCCAGTACTTTTTTTAACAAGCATATCAAAATGACGCCCCACAAAGCATAAGGCTGCACACCCTACATTAAAAGTGATGGGTAAAGCCGACTTAGGGGGCACGCTTGCAATAAGTTGTGGCTACAGCTGACTTGAGGAGCACGCACGATAGAAACATTTGATTTAGGCAGCACGCTCGTGTAAAGATGTGCCTACACCTGGCTTGGGGAGCACGCCCCGCACTAGTAATGGTGACATTTGATTTAGGGAGTCAGTACAGCTGACTTGAGGAGCACGCATGATAGGAACATTTGATTTAGGGAGCACGCTCACGTAAAGCTGTGCCTACACCTGACTTGGGGAGCACGCTCCGCACCCCGTGACCTCCACTGACGTCAGCTCCAGGTCGCCCAGTTCCCGGATGTTGGTGGACCGGCTCTGCCAAGATGTCTGCCGGAAGAGCACGCGGGATCTCGTGTTGCGCGGCGACTTCAAGCACGTGCAGAGCGCGTGGTAGAACGTGCTGCGGAAATGTTTGGACATGAAGCCGTAGATGACGGGGTTGATGCAGGAGTTGCAGTAGGCGAGGACGTAGAAGGCTTGCCTCATGGGCTTCAGGTAGCCGTAGTTCAGGGGGTGGAGGTAGCCGAAGGCGGTCAGGGCGTTGCTGATGAGGATGGGGGCCCAGCAGACGATGAAGACGACGATGACAGCGACCAGCATTTTTATCACCTGGGTGGGGTCAAGTTTAAACGTTAGCAATTGATTGATAGAGAAACTAATCACATTATAGAAACATGTGGATGTATTTATAGGTCTAAGACATATTCCGGAAAGACACTTGCCCGAATGCCGGTAGCCAGGCCGTTTTTCCGAATGAACGCTTGCCCGAATGCGACAAACACCCAAATGGGACAAAAGGGCTTCGGGCAAGTGGCTTTCGGGCGTTTGTACCATTCGGGCAAGTGCCCATTCGGGAAAATGTAAACACATTACACACACACACACACACACACACACATATATATATATATATATATATATATATATATATATATATATATATATATATATATATATATATATATATATATATATATATATATATATATGTATATATATATATACAACCTATAAATGAGCAGATTAAAATGGCTGATGTGTTTTCACATGAATGCACCTAAAGATGACTTTATCAAATTTTTCCAATTTTATTTCCCGCTTCACCGAGCGAGCAGAAATAAGTACACGAAAACTTCCAAAGGTCTATTCCCAGACGGATGTGAGATAATCTCCGTGAAGCCGGAACCGGCTAGCATGAACCGGCTCGCAGTCCGAGGCTTAAAAGCGAGGTCTCCAGTCCGTGAAAAGAATGCCGGATTTATCCCGCACGCGAGGTGATATCTAACGAGTGTTCGGCCAACCGTGAAAACTAATCTAAATTTGATTTGGCCGAAATTCACAAGTTGTAGGTAGTTGTTAAGAAAGAATTTGAAATAAACGAAAACTGACCTATTTAGAACAGACAGAAAAAACAACAACAACACATTATACAAAGCCGCACTATTAAAGTATTTTGGTATGTGATGTAGGGCCTACAGTCGAAATGCGCGAAGAAAGGTAAATCCACCTTTATCTTGTTAAACCTTTTTGAATCTATCAATGACAAACCCCCAGACAACATTTAAGTCTAGTATGTGAGAAGTTGTGAACCCACGGAGATGTGAATGATGTGGTGTCCTGAGCTAGTGGCGGCTACTGTTTATTTATCATGGTCCAGTCAATTGATGGGGAATTATGAACGAGATGAATGCTATGCAAAATCGTTCGGTATGAGTGTAGTAGCGTGCGTGGAGCGATTTATTCAGTGCGATAAGCGGTCTCATAATTCGATAGGGCCTTGTGGGTCTATATCATCACCAAGGTCGTGTGGGTCTATATCATCACTAGGGTCATGTGGGTCTATATCATCACTAGGGGCATGTGGGTCTATATCATCACCAGGGGCATATGGGTCTATATCACCAATTGATTGGGCCATTTGGGTCTATATCATCCTAGGGTCATGTGGGTCTATATCATCACTTTGGCCATGTTGCTATATCATCACTAGGGGCATGTGGGTCTACACCATTAAGCCTGTCGGGTACCATGGGTGAGAGAAAGGATCGATTCCTAACCCTGGTCCAGTCAGCCTGGCTAATGAGTAAAATCTTGAACCGGTCACTACCTTATACGAGACAGAACAGTCGCACAGACTGTCATTCACCTGTCATTCGCTTTCAACAGACGACTTTAAACCAACATGTTGTCAAATAATTCAGTTTTCTAGACGTACCGATGTACAATTTATTGAGATCTTATAAAAGACGACTATTTGTGTATTTTATTACAGTTGATTCTTAAAATTTCGTTTATAAAAAAAATAGTTTATATAAGCTGCGTATATTTATAAAGAATAAAAGTTATGAGAACCCAGTTATCTCCCCTATATGACGAGTTAATTATCCCCCTTGTATCTAATGACCTGTTTCTTGGTCTTGTCGTCATCACCGTCATTGGCCGGAGCTTTGGACCGGAAGACGGGGGACCGCTCGCTGTGGCGGCCTGGGCTGGACATGGGGGAGGAGTGGCTGGAACTTCCGGGGGCCTTGCTGCTCCTGGAGATGTTGGACACAGATGTGACTTGGTCAGTCGTGTGGACATGACTTGGTCAGTCATGTGGACATGACTTCAACTTATGGTCAGTTTTATTGTCATGCTGTGGTCAGTCGTGTGGACATGACTTGGTCAGTCATGTGGACATGACTTCAACTTATGGTCAGTTTTATTGTCATGCTGTGGTCAGTCGTGTGGACATGACTTGGTCAGTCGTGTGGACATGACTTGGTCAGTCGTGTGGACATGACTTGGTCAGTCGTGTGGACATGACTTGGTCAGTCGTGTGGACATGACTTGGTCAGTCGTGTGGACATGACTTGGTCAGTCGTGTGGACATGACTTGGTCAGTCGTGTGGACATGACTTGGTCAGTCGTGTGGACATGACTTGGTCAGTCGTGTGGACATGACTTGGTCAGTCGTGTTGGACATGACTTGGTCAGTTGTGTGGACATGACTTGGTCAGTTGTGTGGACATGACTTGGTCAGTCGTGTGGACATGACTTGGTCAGTTGTGTGGACATGACTTGGTCAGTCGTGTGGACATGACTTGGTCAGTCGTAGATGGTCAGTCGTGTGGACATGACTTGGTCAGTCGTGTGGACATGACTTGGTCAGTCGTGTAGGATATCACTTGGTCAGTTGTGTGGACATGACTTGGTCAGTCGTGTGGACATGACTTGGTTAGTTGTGTGGATATGACTTGGTTAGTCGTAGTTGGTCAGTCGAGTGGACATGACTTGGTCAGTCGTGTTGACATGACTTGGTTAGTCGTGTGTGGACATGACTTGGCCAGTCGTGTGGATATGACTTGGTTATGTTGGTCAGTCGTGTGGACATGACTTGGTCAGTCGTGTGGACATGACTTGGTCAGTCGTGTGTGGACATGACTTGGTCAGTCGTGTGGACATGACTTGGTTAGTTGTGTGGATATGACTTGGTTAGTCGTAGTTGGTCAGTCGAGTGGACATGACTTGGTCAGTCGTGTGAACATGACTTGGTCAGTCGTGTGAACATGACTTTGTCAGTCGTGTGGACATGACTTGGTCAGTCGTGTGGACATGACTTTGTCAGTCGTGTGGACATGACTTGGTCAGTCGTGTGGACATGACTTGGTCAGTCGTGTGGACATGACTTGGTCAGTCGTGTGGACATGACTTGGTCAGTCGTGTGGACATGACTTCAGCCTATGGTCAGTTGTGTGGGGACATAATGGTCAGTCGTATAGACATGACTTGGTAAGTCGTGTGGACATGACTTGGTCAGTTGTGTAGAGCATTGAGTCGGTTATAACATAGGTAAAAAAACTTGAAAACAAAATTAAAAAATAGAATTTAAATAAGAAACTCAAGGAATCGCACCAGATCAAAGTGAGGCGACCTACCTGAAGGTGAACCCAGATGACCTACCTGAAGGTGAACCCAGATGACCTACCTGAAGGTGAACCCAGATGACCTACCTGAAGGTGAACCCATATGACCTACCTGAACCCAGATGACCTACCTGAAGGTGAACCCAGATGACCTACCTGAAGGTGAACCCATATGACCTACCTGAAGGTGAACCCAGATGACCTACCTGAAGGTGAACCCAGATGACCTACCTGAAGGTGAACCCAGATGACCTACCTGAAGGTGAACCCATATGACCTACCTGAAGGTGAACCCATATGACCTACCTGAAGGTGGACCCAGATGACCTACCTGAAGGTGAACCCCGATGACCTACCTGAAGGTGAACCCAGATGACCTACCTGAAGGTGAACCCATATGACCTACCTGAAGGTGGACCCAGATGACCTACCTGAAGGTGAACCCAGATGACCTACCTGAAGGTGAACCCAGATGACCTACCTGAAGGTGGACCCAGATGACCTACCTGAAGGTGAACCCAGATGACCTACCTGAAGGTGAACCCAGATGACCTACCTGAAGGTGAACCCAGATGACCTACCTAAAGGTGAACCCCAGCCTGTTGCCTGACCATCCACTGTTCGCCACTCCGCCATATTGACCGTTGGTGGAGTTTTGACTGCTTCTCTTTATAACATAACCCCTGTCGGAATGATACATGTAACAAATATAACACCGAGTAACTCCTGTCGGAATGATACATGTAACAGATATAACACCGAATAACTCCTGTCGGAATGATACATGTAACAAATATAACACCGAGTAACTCCTGTCGGAATGATACATGTAACAAATATAACACCGAATAACCCCTGTCGGAATGATACATGTAACAAATATAACATCGAGTGACCACTGAGAGCTTATAAAGCTTGAACCCACACATTTTAACATCATTGATGCGCCATGATGGTGCACTTGACAATACATAATGCATGGGATTCCTTCAATTTTTTAAACTGATAATTGATTTTACGGATATTACGGATGTTCCTCGAAAGCCATTTTCGAAATTTGTATTCCATTTTTAAAATTAAAAAACAAATATTTTTAAAACATACAATTTATTATTAATACTTAATTCATGAAAGTGTAAAACGGTAATTATAAAACACACACTTAACTTTGATTAGCTTTTTATAAACTGTTTTCTATTTTAGTTTTATTAGCTACCATTGGCGTGAGTGGGGAGGGCACGGTATATGTTTAAATGTTGCTTTTGAAAGTCAACACATGTCTAGACCTGTTTTGAGTTAAATTACATTATTAGTGGCAACGAGAAAAAACAACAACCCAATTTTGTGTCTGTTTTTAAATTCTGATTAGTTTTCTTAAGCAACAACAAATACGCCCACTTTGTAAAAAAAAATAATACAAAAACAGTCTAGTTTTAATAAACACTGATGTTTTAAAAACACTGCTGACAATTTGTAAACTAATCAATGTCTTTTAAAAAGAGTTTAAATTTCCCGGGTCATGTGTCTTTACCCGCCCCTTAATAGTCTGGCCGGCTGCTAGTTTGTAAACATCCGTGAGCACAGTTCACTTGACTACTCAGTATCCATACTTCTTAAAATTGAACGTTTGAATGTAGTAAATTTTAAACTATTTTTTTCAATGACTAATTTAAATCTTATTAAATTTAACATTTAAATATTAGTGCGTTCTCATTAGAATTACATTTGAATTGGAAACTTGAAAGAAATAGCTGCATTAGAAATAGGATGAGCAGTGGCGTAGCTAGGTCGGGTGTCACCCGGTGCGGCACTTAATGGTGTCAACCCCAGGGGCGTAGCGACCCTTCCCGGGGACAAACTTTCAAATTTTCGATTTGCACCCCCCCTCAAACTTTCGATTTGCACCCCCCCCTCAAATTTTTCTCTATATATTTTGCTATTTATAGCCTTGGTGTCACCCCCCTAAATGGTGTCACCCGGTGCGGTCCGCACCCCCGCCCTCCCCTCCTGCCTACGCCTCTGAGGATGAGTAAGATGAATTGACCACAAACTACATGACATATTGACCCAAGTAAAAGCTTGTACTATCAATAAATCTTTGTATTTCCACCTGGCCCTATTGAGACAAGTAAAACGGTTTTATCACTATATTTATAGCAGGCTATATCGAGACAGTAAAAAAGTCATATTATGACCCAGGTCAAACAGTTGTATGGTCACCTGGGTCATATTGAGACCCAAACAGTACTATTGTCACCTTGTCATGCTGGACCTAAGACTGGCCATAGTCCACAACTCCCTGATGATGCTGACGTAAGCGAAGGTCATGATGACCAGGGGCAGTATCAACATGAGCCACAGCATGTAGGTCTCGTACAGGCGGCTGTACAGGGTCGAGTCCCAGTCCTTGATGCACCAGTAGGCCTTGACCTTGCCGCCCACCTCTTCGTGGACCTGAGAGAGAGAATTCCATTAAGTGGATTGTGGGAAATGGCTTTTCAGATACCTGACAGGAGGAGAAAAAAGGTGAAACAGAGAATGGAAAGATTTTAAAAAATTAAATAGGATGTTCTGTTTGATTTCTAAACTATTAATTGTATTGTTTTTTAAAATCAAAAACCCATGTGAGAATATAACATGATAGAAGTGCCGCAACATCCTCCATTACTTTCTTTAACTTTCCTACCAGTCAAATATTCCAGTCCAACAAAATTTGTACGTAGATCCGAGTGCTTCACGCTGTCAATTCTAATGGTGGACCGTTGGTTACATCAGCGCTTACATTGTGAGGTTAGGGACACATTCTGCTTACATTGTCAGGTATCGGGGAAATTCGGCTTACATTGTCAGGTTACGGAGAAAATTCTGCTTACATTGGAAGCACACGGACACGTTCCGCTTACATTGTTAGGTAACGGGCCGATTCTGCTTACATTGTCAGGTAACTGACACAATCCGTTGTTCTTGAGTACATGATGGTATCCACAGCCACAGTAAACGCATTTTCCCGAACGTAATCAAAGACATAATTGCGTAGGTGTGTTGACGATTTTTAAGGGGGGGGGGGGGAAGTATATGTATTGGGGGAGGGGTGGTTGGAATTAGTATCCTGTGTGAAAGGGGCGGTGGGATGAGGATGGTGAGAGTAAAGATGGTGGGGTAAGAATGGTGGTTGGTGAGGGTGGTGGGATGAGAGTGGTAGGGTGACGGTGGTGGGGTGAGGTAAGTGTGATGCGGGAAGAGGGTGGTGGGGTGAGAGTGGTGGCGTAGCATCAACCTGGTCTAACAACCGGTCACATCCCGCGTGCCTCCCTATCATAAACTTCCAGCGCTAATCCCCCAATTCGCGTCTGCCGTCTAAAAATAGCCTGAGCCCTTACCAAAAAGAACCCTGATAAGGCACCTTCCTGTGCCAGCCAAATTGAAACAAGGAAAGTCGCAGTTGACTTTTTAAAAAGTGCATGCTATAAAATTCCGAAACAATTTATTTTGTAGGGGAGATGACGAGAACAAAAGTACAGAGGGTCATTAATTTTGTTAATGTCGTGATGTAGTCAAACTAGACGTCTTAGTGAGGTCTTCGTCTCTGACACAAACATACTTTAAGACAGGGTTCATTTTCGGCATTTAATTTTACAGTGCGTGCTATGGGCCCTACATCAAAAATTTTTCATTTTTTTTACGACTTTGAAAGACGGACGAGCTGGAGTCCATTTCTACCACAACTAATTAGCGGATGGAATCCGAAATTCGCCTGACTTTATGGCAGCACCTTACAAAATGTGGCCTAGTGGTAGAGAGCTAGACTGCTAGCCCGAAAGTTTCGAGTTCGAATCCGGGTTCAAGTCAGTAGAAGGTCCATGAGTCCACACAGCTCTGATGGGTACCTAACTCATGTTACGGAAACCAAAGGCGGTTAGGCATAGTGCTGACCACACTCCCTTCACAAGGTCACAGAAACAGGTAAACTCTACTTCACTTGCCCCATGGCCCGTCAGTTTCGAACAAAGGTAACTAATTACTACTGAACACAATGTACCGACTAATGAACAATTGCTGTCTAATCTAAACAAGGTTAAACAAAATAATAAAATATAAATTAGATGAATAAAGTGAAACATTCATTGTATTGGGTCCTCAGTTGATATGGTTTAGACATTATACCCAAGATATTCAACCATAAATGATGTTCTATTTAAGCTCGATAAATCTTGACATTTTTAATAATATTTGATAGACATTTCGTCAACATAATGAAAGAATAAGAAAACATTAATAGTATGATTCTTCCCCCTTTTCAACATCGGAGTTTATTGTGATGTTTTCGAGCAAATTAATACACACATTTACCTTCTTAGGCTACATTCAGTGGCGTTCCAAATTAATACACACATTTACCTTCTTAGGCTACATTCAGTGGCGTTTCGAGCTGGGGCCGGCGACACCCGACCTAGTGACGCCATTGTCATCATTGTTTATCAAAAAAAGCCAGTAATATCCACATAGCACATCGAATACTTATATATAACTCCGTTTGCTAATTAGATTTAGGTTTCTAATTAACTAAAACATGTTTAATTAAAAAGTGTTTTAGGTTACTAAAACTTAGTTAAGCCAAACACAAGGGACGCAATTTTAGAAATAAGAAATTTGGTGTTTAGTTTCGATAATGTTAACTTATCGCAAATGTCAATGACTCGTAATCTCATTAGAAACGATGATTTTTTTTGTCTCCCTTGACACAACTTTTTGCTTTTTTTTTCTCGGTGAAAGTTTGCAGGGAGAGCACCGTGTCCTAGACAAAAGATTGCAAATGGGGGTGGGGTTGGCGACACCCAGATTGTTACACGGGCAGGTGGGGGTGGGGTCGGCGACACCCAGATTGTTACCAGAGTTTCTTCCAGGCATCTCTTCGGCCCCTCCGAAATTTTTTTACCGCCCCCCCGAACGAAATGAAATTTGTATCATTTATATAGAAAATATATACTTTTAACAGTGTCCCCCCCCCCCGAAGAAAAGTTTACCGCCCCCCCCCCCCGAAGATTTCAAGTGCCCCCCCCCCGAAGAAAAAAGTCTGGAAGAAACATGATTGTTACACGGGCAGGTGGGGGGGGGGGGCGGTAGTTTTTGATAACTTAACGCCGAGATTCAGAGCGTAATCAAAAGTGGCGCCACAACCGGGCCAATGCCGCGAACCTGCACGTGCAAGCGTTTACTCACTGTCATAATTATAGGCACGCGTCAGGTTTTGGGGGGTCGCACTGGCGTCACTCAAGAATTTTAGAGTCAACCGATGAATCAGAAAACGCTGACCTTTGCTGTTACTGCGGTCAACCTGACCGTATTTATTACTGCGGTCAGTCTGACATTTGCTGCTATTGAGGTCAAACTGACATTTCTTGTGCCGAGGTCAACCTAACCTTGCATGTAAAATCGATGCCAATAATAAACCTGATTTATTCGGCTAAACCATATCGAAGTGATAACAAATTAAAGGGCTATGTGGAGTGTGTGTGTGTGTGGGGGGGGGGGGGGGGGGAAGGGGGGGTGAGGGTGTGCGTACGTGCGTGTGTGTGTCTGTTATAACGCCATTTGCAATGTCTATAAAAACAAAAAAACCAACAGGAGTGTTTGAGGCTACACTTTCTAAAAGTGCGAGCGCTCATGGGTAGGGTCACGTGATAGGTTGGGTGAGAACATCCGCTAACATCGCGATGTTCTGGTTTGCCAGTACACGGCCTTGGGTGATGTCGTGGGTAGATTGGCTCGGGTCACGTGATGGCCAGATGACGTCACTAACGGGTAACACGAGCTTTTAAATGACGATCTGTCATGCTCGTCTGTCATCGCGGTCAGTCATGATTGTCTGTCTATCATGGCTGTTTGTCATGTTGGTCTGTCAAGGTTGATAAGACCGTCAGTCCCATATGTTTATGTCCGTCTATGATACAAATATGGCAATCTACCATGACAGACTTGTATCATACACAAACCTAGCCACCCACCCACCAACGACTCACTCCAACACGCAGCCATCCACCCACTCTCCCACCAACCCACCCACGCAGCCACTCTCCCACCAACCCACCCACGCAGCCACTCTCCCGCCAACCCACCCGCCCACCAACCTACCCACCCACCCACAAAACCAAATACCAACCCAAACCACCACTTACACACCCATTCACCCTACCTACACACACTCGCCCACACACCAACTTACCCACCAACCTACTCGCCCGCACACCAAACTACCCACCCACCCACACCACCTACCTACCCCCCCCCACCCCCACCCCCACCAACATCCTGACCTAAGAAAAAGCTTATGAGAAGATTTATTCTACATCATCCAG